TTGAACTTGCCAATTTTGATGCCTTTTAGTTCTTCTGCCATTTTTTATTTCACTTCTTCCACATGGGCAAAAAGTTTCCCTTTAAGGACTTTTTTCATCCATAGAAACAAAAAAGAGTTGCTTTGGGTGAGATTGAGTGAATGGGGGATAGGCCATGGGGGTGATGCTGTTTTGGGTAAAAAAACTGCTGAACACTCACCACACTGTGGACAGGTGCACTTGCAAATCACCCATCATGAAATGAACAAATACATTAGAAGAACCTTAAAAAAATCATTGAAGCGGAACACATCCTCTCACAACAATGCCAGCTGGTGCACTGATACAGATGGGTTCCTAGAACACTCACATAGCAGGGGAAGTCTGTACTACAAGGGGCCCCCCTGGAGAAGATAAATCTGGGTTTTTTTGTGCCCCTCATACACTATTGCCAATTTTTTATTGTACTTGTACTGGGGGATATTTTTGATGCACTTTAAATCATATATTACCCTTTTTTAATACCTCTCTCTCCTTTACTCACATATTATTATATTCTTCATTGTCCTCCAGCCTCTTCAACAATAACTTCAAGAATTACCTGCCTTGGCAGGAAATTAAGCCTCTTAAAAATGTTCTTCAAATATTTCTGACGGTCTACCAATGTGGCATCAAATCCACATGTGTTCACAAACCAGTCTGTTAGTTGAAGTCACTGCCTAATATTGTTCATGTTTTTCTTCTTTTCCAGTTGCCTTTTAGTCATGGTCACTGTCTGCGAAGCTACTGGAAGGACACTGAATATTGTCAAGAGTTTGATGCCCATCAGGACGATGCAAGCGTCTACCTTCGAAGTTCTGTCTCTAGATGTTTTTGGTCCACCAGTGCTCTGGTGCCTGAGTGGTGGTTCGTTTCATGCAGAGATGATGGCCTCTACATTATCTCTGTCCCACTCAAAGAGTGCTGCTTATCTTATAAAGTCTCTCAGCAATAATTCAATGGATTTTCATTTTTCAAACTTTTTCTAGAATCTCACAAAATGGTTTTGGTTAGGGCCCTTAGATCTGTAACTATGGAACGGTACAGATGCCATGCTAGGCCCTCTACTCTCCTATTCCTAGGCTTTCCCCACACCAAACTTTCTCCTTCTTTAGAAAGCAAAAACCTCAATGTAGACAATGGAGAGGTGTCCACAGACCTGCCACATTTGCTCCCCACTGAGCCAGCCAAAAATACACACTACCCTTAAAATATCAGTCTCTGTGTGTGCACAAGACAGGCTGTTCTGATTCTATCTACTGCTATAGTTCCTCCTTATTACCACACTAACCATCCACACATTAGACTAACACATCTCAGATACGCTCTCCTTTCCCACCTGTGCTTATTTGTCTGATGGAAGGATGAACAGGGATATATTTGAAAGCCAGAAGGAATTTCTGAATTTCAATTCTGACACTATCTCATTGACTTCTGAATGATATAGAATCTCAAGGTTGGGAGGAATTCTAAAAGTTCATCCATCTCTAGATTTTTCCCCACTATGCAGTCATCCAGTCCAGATTTTTATATCTTAGCCAAGAATAAATGCATTTTTGAGATTTCTTATTTCCTTTGGGAGGATTTGCACACCATTTTTCCTCACAGCAAGGTAAAATTTGTTTGCTATAGATTTCTTCCAATACTTCTAAATCTACTGCCTTGAATCCAGACAGAAAATTTGTATTCTCTCTGATTCGTGATATCTCTTCAGTCATTTGGAAATAGCTATCATGTCACTTTCTATCTTCTTATTCCTATATTAAATGTCCCCAGGTTGTTGATATTCCTGATGACGCAGTTTGGAGCTGCTTTACGGCCTGGGTGCTCTCAGCTGAATGTGTCCCAATTTGTCTTTTAACACATGTCCCTAACTCTCTAACATATGATTCTCAGATTACTCAGCATAAAAATATGAAGTATTAATATATGCTATGACATGGATGAACCTTGAAAACATTATGCAAAGTGAAAGAAGTTAGTCACACAAGACCACATTCTATATACTTCCTTTCATATTAAATGTCCATAACGGGCAAGTCTAGACAGACACAAAGTAGATTAGTGGTTGACTAGGACTCAGGGATGAGGAGGTAGAAAGACTGGGGAATAATGGCTGTGAGGTATGGGTTTTTTGGGGGGTGATGAAAATGTTCTAGAATTGATTGTCATCATGGTTGCACAACTCTGTAAATATGCTAACAGTCATTGAAGTGTACACTTCAAATCAATAAATTATATGGCATGTGAATTATATCTCAATATAGTTGTTTAAAAATATGATGTCTAGAAAGGAATTATTGGTAAACAGTAATCTGAAGTAGATTGTTTTAACCTCTGGATTTCAATTTCACTCTCTATAAATTAGATGAGAGCTCCGCCTTCTTGATAGGGTTGTTGAATCACATTTTATGATATCATAATTATGTAAAGTATTAAACTGAGTGACTCTTACCACCTCATATCCGAGTTGCTAACACAACCCACTTGCTGGTAACTCATTTGTTTTGTTGGGTAAGATTTTTTTCAAATAGCTATTACTTTACTCAAGAGAAGGCGAGAATCACTTAGTACCCATTGTATAAAGTCCCAACATCATCCTATAGTTTCTATCATTCTTCACAGATAAACTATATTTCAATGATCAAACAATTGCTTTCTCCATCATGTACTTTGTATACTAACCCCAGTAGTTGTTTTTTTTTCTCTCAGACAAAATATATCCTGTTACGGACTGAATGCTTGTGTCCCCCACCAACTCATATATTGAAGCCATAACCCTTATATGACAGTATTTGGAGGTGTGACTTTGGGAGGTAATTAGGTTCAGATGAAGCCACGAAGGTCAGTCCCCCATCATGGGATTAGTGTCCTTGTAATAAAAGGATGAGAGACTAGACAGAGCTCTTTCTCTCCACATGTGAAGGCACAGCAAGAAGGTGGCCATCTGTAAGCCAGGTGGAGAATCCTCACCTGGGAACTGAATGGGCTAGTACTTTGACTTAGGACTTCCCAGCCTCTAGAACTGTGAGAAATAAATTCCTGCTGTTTAAGCCAACCAATCTGTGGTATTTTTGTTATGTCAGTGAGAGCTGACCAACACATACCCCTTGAAACTCCCCACCAAAGCTCAGTCATGACTTTCTTCAAAAGTATTTTTGAAACTTTCTTCTGTTGGAATTTCCCACCATACTGTTCACTCCATAACTCTGCCTCCTCTCAGAAGTTTAGCTTCATAGAGCTAAATTTAGCTTTATAGTTCATTTTTATTTATTTATCCATGTATTATACTTTCACTCCTCACCTACTTGACAAGCTTTCCACATGAAAGAAGGGTAGTGTGTTACACTTCCTTCCCTCCAAAACTCATGTTTTGTAGACATTTCCATCGGTACTCAGTCAAAACTGCTTGCTTCCTCGTTTCCTGCAATTGTCGGTCCCACACTCTACACAGTCTGAAGCTCATAGGAAAAACTTACAAAAAACAGACAATTGAAAAGGGTTAATGCACAAACACTATGTTGAAAGTTCATTCTATCGGTTTTAATTCATAGCTTCTGATGAGCACCAACATTTAGAATCCCAAGAAATACAGAGTAGAAGTTGGTTGTGTACTATTTAAAGCTTGCTTCTTTCTGTTGTTATAATACAAAAGGGCACTGTTGTGGTTTAAATGACCCACTGCCTGTAGCATCAACTCAGACTTCATGGAAAAACCTCAAACCCAGTTCTTACAGTTTTTAGAAAGTAAGACGTCCAGTTGTAAACCAAAGGACAATTTTCTAATTTTTAATTCATCAAATAAAATGTTTTTCTTTACTACCAGCTCCACCTTCTCCACCATTGCAATCATTCCTACGATGATTGTAAGGGAAAGAGGTAGTGCAACAGGCAGAAACCAGAGCTTACATTCAGGCTGATTCATTTGCTGTTGGGTGAAATGCCTCTGCAGCCCCTTGAGCTTATCTCCCCCAGATCGGTTAGGACTAGAAGGATGGAGGACGGCATGGTGAAGTCCCGCTCATTTTATGGGCACAGAAGCTAAGGCCAGCAAAAAGGAATGACATACTCAGTGGCTTATGATTTACTAACATGGTCATAAATATTGTATCAAAACTTGGCTTGGAAGTTTACATGCTGCTCCAGAGGAGGACGGTTATGGTGTGGAGTACATTTTTTTGTGGGTGTTTTATCCCTCATGTTATTTTAAAATACACTCTTTGATTCTTTGTCTCACATTTTCTTAGGTTATAAGAAAATCCCTCAACATGTTATCTAATTATGAAAAGAAATGTGAGGATGGAAGGAGGGTAGGGTACAAGGAAGGAGAGAAAAACGGAAGGAAGGAAAGAAAAACGGAAGGAAGCAAAGAAGGAAGGAAGGAAGGTAGGTATCTGGCCTCCTACTCCCTCTCCAGACTTTTCTGATTCCCACTATCCCTATCCCTGCTTTCCACACGGCTCCATTCCCTTCTCAGCTCCTCTACATCCCACAGTCCTAAAGGCCAGCGGACAGGGCTTCTACATCGCGAAAACCTTTGTGTGGCTGCCGCAGCCGGGCATGCTCAAACGCCCAGGTCTGGCTCTTTTCGGCTCCCAACTTTGGCAACTCTCCCACCCGCACCCCGAAAGGGCAGGCAGGTCCACACAGACCCCTTAGGTGTGAGTACGAGGGAGGAAATTATCCTACTCTCGCGGAGGAAGTCAGGAAAGGGAGCTCTTTGAACAGTTCGCTGCTTAAGGGGCGCGCCGCCAAGGGGCGCGCAGGGGTGGCGAGCCCTCCGCCGAGGGTCGGGTCCCCACGGGCTGCGCGGCCCCAGGGTCCGCGGCAGCGCGGGCGCGCGCCCGGCCGAGGGGGCGATGTCCGAGAGCACGGGCGCGGGAGCGCGCTCTGGGAGTGGTCCCGCGGCGGAGGGAGGGGCAGGCAGAGGCGGGGCCGCGGCGGCGCGCGGACGCCGAGCTCCGCCGGAATTCTGGAGGCTGCTGGGCGGCCACGGGTGGGAGCCGCTGTACGCAGAGCCTCGAAACCTAGGACTTCTGGGAGCTAAGGAACCCCAGGAGTGGAGCCCGGCCGCGTGGGAGAGACACGCGGTGCTCCCTGCTCTTTCGCTTCTCTCGCTCCGTTTAGGAAGTGGGTGGGGGCGGTGCGGCCGGCGTCCGGAGGCATTCAAACGCCCGCGTCCGGGAGAAAATTCACCTGTTTCGAGACAGCGCCTGAGACTTGGAGGGAGCGGTGGCAAGCTCTCGCTCCTGGCACAATGGGCTGTACGCTGAGCGCCGAGGACAAGGCGGCGGTGGAGCGGAGTAAGATGATAGACCGGAACCTCCGCGAGGATGGCGAGAAGGCAGCGCGGGAGGTCAAGCTGCTGCTGCTGGGTGAGGGGCCGGGCTGGACGCCGGGGCGGGCGGGGGTGCCCCGGGAGCCCGGGGTCGGGCCGCTGTGCTGGGCGCAGTGGTCGTGGCGGGCCTCTCGGCGTTGGAAACCCGAAGGGGACTTGCAGAGCGTCCGAGGGCGCGCCTGGTAGCGCCCCGGATGGTTTCAGAGCGAGTGCTCGTCTTTCGCGTTGCAGAGACGAGGCGGGTGCCCCTCTCCCGGGTCCTCTCCCTATCTCCCTCCTCCTGGCGGGTGAGAACTCGCGGGCGATGGGGCGGGAGCTTCACTCGCGTGCCTAGGTGTGGACCCTGTGGGGAGCCGAGGAGCGGATCACGAGTATCCCCATTTCTTTGAAGTTAGCTCAGCTTTGTAAAGATGAAAGAGAATTCGTGACAAGAAAATAAGAGCCCCGCCCCCCACCCCGAAACCCTTCCTGCAAGGTGTCTGTGTCGCGTTTGTGGTTTTCCCGTTCTAAGAGTGTCACGTTTTGTTAAATTTGTGCACCATTTTGGGGGCCTCCGTGGGATCGAAATGTGTGTTTCCTGGAAACTTCCTTTGGCGACTCAGTAAAAGTTTTAAAGGAGCCCTGATTATATTTACCTGATTATATTTTCTTAAGGAATTAGGCTACGCTGAGTGCTTGATTTTTATTACTGTGGGGACATGGACACCTCCCAAGTTGAGTGTAACATTTGCTCCAGTAAGATACTTGATTGGTGAAAACCCAATGTGGAGGTACGAAAGGGTCTCGCTGGGCAACTGGATTCTCTTCTTTGATGAATGAGAATTGCTAGATACAACACTGAAGGCTCTTATTTGTCCTTAGTATTGTTCCCATGCTGAAACGTTGTGTGGAAGTCTTTTTCGGTTATTTCAAGGGAGAATAAAAAGAGTAAGGTAGGTTTTTGTCTGAGGGATACGTTAGGAAAATGTGCACAGCATAAGATTTGTAAATATCTGAGTTAGGGTTTTCTTTTGTTTGTCTGCCCGCCCCCCCCCCCCCCCCAACCCAGTAGGTATTTAGGAGGATGAAAGATTTCCCAGAATCATTTGCACTCCCAGAGATTGCTATTATTTTTATAAGTTATAATAAAAAAGAAACAGTGCACAACCCTGTTTTCAGAAAGCTTTATTTCATTGGTTTGATGACTGCAGGAAAAATGGTGTTTTTCTTCCTCTCCATTACTTGTAATCTTGGAAGCAGCAAACTTGGCATGACTAAAAGTAATAATGATTTGAGTCATTTAGCAAGCAAGCTGTGAAATAACTTTGCAGTTTAAAGACCTGGGTGTCTGTCTTTACCTTCGCCCCCAACATAAATCCTTCTCAGTTAATACTGTTTACTAAAGTTTTTACATTAATGAGAAATGTTATATTTTGCCAAGGTCAGTGTATTTTTAGTGGATTGGGCATAGAAAAGAAACACCTTGATATGGAACCATTTAGGTGCTTGTTTTATGAATTGAATGTGCCTGAGTCAAAAGTGAAATAAAAGAGTTCAAAAAGTTCTGTTCCTGCATTTCTGCACTCCTGCTTTGATAATACTGTTTCAGTGTATTGTAGTGTGACTCCTAGTTGAGCCAGCCATCCACCATGTTTAAACCAGTTGAAAAATGAGTCCTCTGGTGTGGTTTTATACTTTAATTGGATGTCTGTTAGAGACAGATGACTAGGATATAGGTCCAAGGAGTTAGTTTTTGCTTGCATTCAGAAGAGATCAGTGTTTCTTAACCTTAGCACCATGGGAATTTTGCACAGGATAATTCTTTGTTTTGCAGGCTGTCTTGTGCTTTGTAATTTGTTTAGCTTAGCAGCATCTTTGGCCTCCACCCCATTAGATCCCAACATCAGCCCACTCAACCTGTGACCCTTGACAGTGTCTCCAGCTATCCCCAAAATGTACCCTGTAGGCAAGAAATAACCATCCGCAGAGAACCGCTGTTCTAGATTGTTAGACTATAGTTGAATGTGTAATGTAAAGTAAAAAGTTGCATCTCTACAGCCATCTGTAGTGAGAATTATGAGAAAGGTGTGGCAGAGTCATGATTTTTAAAAGAAATGATGGGATTTTTGTTTCTTCATATCGGTAATATTAGAAAGATAAACAAATGATTTTTAAAAATCTTTAGTAACTGAATTCCATCACCTGGCTTTTCTAGCTTTAATGTTTTGCTTTTCCCCACATCTCTTCTCTCAGTAGAAATCGTCTTGTTGGCCCAGTGCTCCTCCCTCCCTCCCTCCCTCCCTCCCTCCCTCCCCCCCTCCCTCCTCCCTCCCCCCCCCTCCTTCCTTCCTTCCTTCCTTCCTTCCTTCCTTCCTTCCTTCCTTCCTTCCTTCCATCTTACTCCCACTCTACCTTTTTTTGTCCAGATTCCAGCACCCTGATTTCTATAAACAGAATGATGGCTTACTTATTTTATAAATCTTAATTCTTGGAATGTTAGAAAATGCCTCCCCCTAATTTGACTTTAGCAGTGAAGTGTTGACCTTTGATTCTTTTATGGATGTTTAAAGTGTATAAGCAGCTCAGTGAAATCATTCCCTGTAAAGCACAACAATGGAATTAACTAGAAATATAAAATGGTTTCTAGGTAACCTATAACCAATGTCAATTCCATTTACATTAGGTCTTATTTCTCTTCAGTTATTTTGTTTCTCTCATCAAATGATTTTTAAAACAGTTTAAGGGAGAAAGCTTCCAAAGTACATTTAAAACAGTGTATTAAATAGTTTGTTATACTGAATATTTTCTTAAGACGTGTATTGTGTTTTTAGCTATCTGGGTTGAGAGATTCAGGCATGAGATGTACAATATTAGTAAGAAGATTTTGGTACTGTTTATTATAATTTTAAAAAATCAGGGGTATATCACTATTCTTATCAGGAGCAATGAATTAGGCCTTAAAAGAGAGAAGACCTAAGGTAATCATTGACCTAAAGAAATTAGGTCAGGGTTTGGCTCTTTCCAATCTTCAGGTTTAGTTTTCAGACTTTAGTATTAGAACAACACTCCTAAATAGATAAACTTAGTTTAATAAGGACAGTTTTATTTCCATTATACATGGCTAATTTTCTCAGGGAAAACTTGTTAACATGTTAACCATTTATCATGCTTCTAAGGGCAGTATCATTAGGCCTAGACTTATTTCAGTGAGGCAATATTGTACATATGGATCCTTATTAAATATTTTTTAAAGATATAAGGGAGTAGATTATATGACTAAAATTTTCATGCATTAATTTTTCATCAGTCATTTCATTCTAAATAAAGCTTTGAGGTTTTGTTCTGTTTCACTGCACCACTCACACAAACCCCAACCCCCCAAAACAAACAAAAACATCCAAAATGAAAATTTATACTCATATCTTTTTCTCTAGCTTAGTTTAAGTATTATAGGTGGAGTGAAAACATAAGGGATTGGATTTATTTCTTCTGCTTGGTGAATAATTTTCCATTGCTGCCATCAACCAGCTGTTTGAGAAGCTACATCATTAATCCTTTTTGCTCCCTTTAAACATGCCCTATGACTTCCCTAGTTGAGAAATTCTGGTATTGCAGAACTTTTGGATTTTGCATTACTTTAGCTATTTCTTTAGAACCGGCTCAGAGCTCGATGTTAGAAAGCTTGTTTCCTTGAATAAATGGACCTGGTATTTCAACCTGGGTTATGGGCTTCTTGCTCACTTACCTGCTTTTTGTTAGCAAATAGCAATTACTTTAACAGAAGCTACAAGTGGTTTTTAAAGTGTTTTAAAAAAATTGATTTTTCTGTGGGCTTTCCTCCTTCTGGTCTTTTCTTATAGCTCTTCTTCCTACTGTAGGTACCATGTGAATTCTTTGCTCAGAAATCTTTGTTGACTTCTGTAGAATAAAAACTCTTCTATATCTGGCTTCCCTCTGTCCTTGTACTTTTTTCCTCAGTGCAGTCTCCCCCTCCAAGCAGGAGTGATTGGCCTGTGATAAAGCATCTTTTCACTCAGGTTTTTAGTGTTGGTTAGCCTTATGCCCTGCCTGTTTTCCCCGCTAATGTGAGCACTTTAGGGACAGAATTTTAGTAATAAGTCATCCTGTGTTCCTCACAACCCATTTACTTTGTCATATGCACAATTACGTCTTAATTATTTTAAGTTCATATCTTATGTGGGGTTAGGATTTACCTAGAATATACGCTGTATACTCTTTAGTCTTCCATTTTCAGTGGCCATGGGAGTAAAAAACTTCCCAGACAAACAATGTAAACAAAAAAGGAGTGGTAATGATTTGCTATGAACAAAATAAGCATATGGTTTCTGAAAGCAAATTGTTTGGTTTACGGATTTCTATCCATATTTATAAGATCTTTAACAGTCACTACATTATTTAATAAATTAGATAAAATGACAAAAGGGGATTTTGGGGAGGAGGGTTTACTTGTTGCAGTTGGAATGTTACTCCTTAAAAACATTATTTTTTGTGCCCTCGCTGGTGTAGCTCAGTGGATTGAGCATGGACTTGTGAACCAAAAGATTGTGGTTCAATTCCCAGTCAGGGCACATGCCTGGGTTGCAGGCCAGTTCCCAGCAGGGGACACACAAGAGGCAACCGTACATTGATGTTTCTCTCCCTCTCTCCTTCCCTTCTCCTCTAAAAACAAATAAATACAATCTTTAAAAAATTAAAAAAAAACAAATTTTTTTTGTTATGGTAAATCTCACATTTTAGTTTTTATTTTTTGGTTTCTTTTAAACATAAAGAGCATGAGACTTGTCGGATTTATTAGTGATAGGAAATATAATGCCTATGTCATAGATTTTAGTGAAGGATATTAGGAAATATGATGCTTATTTTATAGCATTTAGTGGGAGATATTATTTAAACCTGCGAAAGATTGCTGTAAATTTTTTAAAGAAAAATTGAATATCTAATCACAATCTTAATTTTTATTTTGTCATACATCTCTCTGCTTTGGAAAATTCTAGAGACCACAGATTTACATAGGAGGATCTGAATGTATTTGTCACA